TCTCCTTCTTCCCCTGGCTTTCCCCTTCCAGCTCCCTCCTCCCAGGTTTCCTCTTCTTCTCTCCCAACTCCTTTTCCCAGTCTCCCCAGGGGTTAATCCCCCCCTCCCCCAGTTTTGTTAAATAAAGAGAGTTTCTATTTTTGAACACACATCCTTTATTTTGTACATCAGGAAGGGGGGCTAGGGAAGGGTAAGTGGAAGGAGGTGAGGGAGGAATGGGGCACGAGCCCCCGATGGGGAGGACTGGGGTGGCTCTGCGGGATCCTCGGGGTGGAAGCTCTCTTGCAGGGCCTCCTGGATCCTGGCAGCCCCCCGGTTGACCCTCCCGGATGGCAGTCTGTGGCAAGTGCAGCCAGGCTAATGGCCGAGTGCTGTGATGTGCCAAGTGTGGGCACTTTGCTGTCCCTCATCAAGGTAGACAAGCAAGTGGGGAACCCTGAGAACTGTCTGTCCAGGGTGGGGGGTCAGGTCCCTTTAAACACAGCCCTCGGCTAGCCTGAGGCAGCAGCTCCACACTCTAAGTCCTAACCTGATGCCCTGCCGGCACTGGTTCCGGCCAGCCTTAACTTCGGTTCAGGGTCCACTCAATGTGGACATGCTATTTCGAATTAGCAAAATGCTAATTCGAATTAGTTTTTAGGTCTAGATGCACTAATTTGAATTAGCTTAGTTCGAATTAACTAATTTGAATTAAGTTAGTTCGAATTAGTGCTGTAGTGTAGACATACCCTTTGGGACGCTTATTGGCTTTGTCTCAAGAATAAAGACAATGTTGTATCCTGCATCTGATTATATTCCTTTTCTTGGAAATTGGTTGTATTAGTCTGTTTTCTAGTCAGGCCACCGGAAGCCTGAATTTTTTCACAGCATAGGGTGGATTTTCATTTCATTTCCGTGGAGATAATCCTGACATCTTGGATTAAGAGTTCCCATGTAGGGGGCAATACTGCTATATAATGATGCCAGTAAAATTCCCCATGTAAATTATTCCTAAGAGTGAAGAGAATTGGATCCTTTGGTTTTTGAGACCTGGTATAAAAATTCAAGCTGGAGAGGATCCATTAGCATGGGTTCCCAAACTGGGAAGTGTGCCCCCCTGAGGGGCGTGAAGAAATTCCAGGGGGGTGGGAGGTGACCCAGCCCTTTCCTCCCCCATCAATCCCACCCCAAGTTTTGCAAATATTTATTCCCAATATTTATTCAGCCTAAACTTCCCTGGAATGATTTCATCCCTACCCCCATTGTACCTCATAATAAATCAGATTCTGCCACTTCATCTTAATAAGTATTATTAATAAAGAAAGTGTAAAATCAGTTTTAATAAAGTACAACCATTGCATTAATAATACTCCATAATTAGCTCCATTGACTTCAGCGAGATCAATCTCAAAGTAAAGTACTAGCCATCAGAGGCACCGACTTCTGCTCTAACCAGGAGCATGTTCATGCTTCCCCTCTGTCCCAGGCCCTGCCCCCGCTCCACCCTTTTCCCTGCGCCCGTTTCCCCGCACCCTGCCCCCACTCCACCCTTTCCTTCAAATCCTCACCCCCACCTCTTCCTGCTGCCACTCCACTTCTGCCTTGCCCCCACTCCACCTCTTCCCCCCACAAGCCTCTGCCCCTGCTGCTTCCTGCCCCCTCACCCTTGTTTGCTCAGTCCCAGAGCCTCTGAATGGCACAAAACTTTTTTTGCAGTGGAAGGGAAGCACTGGGAGGGAGGGAGAGGATTAGAACAGCGGGGTCATCAGTGGGTGGGAGGTGTGGGGCAGAAGAGGGAGCGTGGCAGCTGATGGGTGCAATATATCAGAATCCAGCATAAATAAACAACCCCCTTTCTTCTTATTTACACCCTTCAAATACTTGTAAGCTCTAATTGCACCTCCCCTTAACCAGTGATTAGCTAAGCGATGCGTCTTTAAATCAATGCCTCAGCTCCCAAAACTTTTCTGCAGCTCACCTCAATCTCCCTGCAGTTTATTCAGACTTTGTGCCTCTATGTTTATCCTTTCTCCAGGGCAACTACTTCTTCCCTTTGGCCTGGTGACCAGCGCTGTACACACTGTTCCATGGGGAACAGAAGGAATGCAGCGGAGAAGTGGCCCATGCAGGGAATCACCCAAGCTGCAGCTCTCCCCGGTACAGCTCTGGGTGAAACTGTGATGCACAAAGGGCGTGGCCTTTTAAGGGTTGCGTTAAATCAGCTGGTAAATTAATGCCCGTACTTCAAATATGCATCCAAAGGCAGAATACAAGCCGTCATTTGCAAAGCATTTGGGGATCAGTGGGCTAAAAGGCCTGGTTAAAGTGTACACATTGTGCTGTTAAAATGACCATCTCACTGCAAGATTAGACCGGAGTCCAAACTGTTTTAGTAAGTGCCTAAATAAGAACATAAGAATGGCCATACTGGGTGAGACCAATGGTCCAGTATCCTGTCTGCCAACAGTGGCCAATACCAGATCCCCCAGAGGGAGGGGACACAGCAGGTAATCCTCACATGATCCCTCCCCTGTCACCGACTTCCAGAGAAACAGAGACTAGGGACACCATTCCTACCCATCCTGGCTAATAGCCATTGATGGACCTAACCTCCATCAATCTATCCAGCTCTTCTTATAACCCTGTTGAAGTCCTAGCCTTCATCACATCCTCTGGCAAGGGGTTCCACAGATTGACTGTGCGCTGAGTGAAGAAAAACTTCCTTCTGTTTGTTTTAAACCTACTGCCTATTAATTTCATTTGGTGACCCCTAGTTCTTATATTGTGGGAATATGTAAGTAACTTTTTTTTATTCACTTTTTCCACACCAGTCATGATTTTATAAACCTCTATCATATCCCCCCTTAGGCTATGGCTAGACTGCAAGCCTCTTTCGAAAAAGGCTTTTTTGAAAGATACTTTCAAAACAGCCTCTTTCAAAAAAGAGCATCTAGACTACAACCAGTACTTTCGAAAAAGCAAGTCACTTTTTCGAAAGAGAGCACCCAGGCAGTCTGGATACTCTCTTTCGAAAAAGCACAGTTTGCATAACATAGCACCTTTTTTCAAAAGACCACTTTTGAAAAAAGGCGTTCTTCCTCGTAAAACGCGATTTTCTGCAGTCGAAAAAACTGCCGTGTTCTTTTGATTTACATGGCAGCAGTCTAGACGCAAGAGAAGTTTTTTGAAAAAAGGTCACTTTTAAAAAAAAAAAACCCTGTAGTCTAAACACACCCCAAGTCTCCTCTTTTCTAAGCTGAAAAGTCCAAGTCTTTTTAATCTTTCTTCATATGGGACCCGTTCCAAACCCCTAATCATTTTATTGCCCTTTTCTGAACCTTTTGCAATGCCAAGATATCTTTTTTGAGACGAGGTGAACGGGGCAGCTAACAGGGTGTTTCCTAATGATTTGTTTCTATAGGTGATTGAATCCTCTGGGTCAAACAGCTTACTGAATCCCTGTAAGTGGTCTTATACGGAGAACTAGGAGCTAAAGGTCCTGAAGCAAGGTTTTGTGTCAGCATCTCAGAAGTTAAAAGAACGTCTCCTCCAAACATCTGTTTCACACAAACCTTTTCGGGGAGGGAGAGGGGAGGAAAATGACGCCTAGGCGATGTTTACAAGAATCTGGGTAACATCCAGTGTTTTGTGAATCACTTGTGCATGTGAGTAATGAAGAGTGCACATTGCCGGATGTGGGGTTTGTCGTAAATATGCCAGACAAATGACAACAGAGCTAGACTCCAGATACAC